GATTCGTAACCACTACACTACTAGAGCTCCTTTTTTGATGTATAGAGATATTATAAAAGAAATATTGTGAGTGGGTGGCTTAAACAAACAGAAATATATTCTTTTACAGGTTAGGATGGTGGTGGTAGTGGTGTACCATAGAGTCATTTGGACTCATGTTGTTAAGTGCTGTCAAGTTGATTATGACTCATAGCAACCCTGTATAGGATTTCCCCATGAGTGACTAGTGGGTTTGAAATGCCTACCTTATGGTTAGCAGTTCAGTGCTTATCCTACAGTGCTATACCTGGACTCACAGCGACCCTATTATGTGGTTTCTGAGACTTTAAATCTTTACAGGAGCAGAAAGCTGCATCTTTCTTCCGAAGAATGACTGGTGGATTTGAACTGATGTCCTTGTGCTTTAGCAGCCCAACATGGCATGTAACCCCCTATGCCATCAGGGTCTGAATTCAGGATATCAGCTCTAGAGAAATGTTTTCTTTCTGTGTGTGTGTGTTGGCTTTAAAGGAAGGTCCTTGTCTTCTTTTAACAGCTGTCAGTCCTGCATTCCTTTGAGATTCCCACGTGTCAATCTTAGACGGCATCAATCTTCCCTTAGGTCTAGGAGGATCTCAGCACAGGGACCCTGGGTCCAAAGGATGAATTCTACTCCTGGCTCTTGTTTCTTGGTAATACTGAATCCCTCTCTTCTCTGCTTGCTTCTCTATTTTCTCTCTTGTCAGGTAAAAGTCTACACCTCCGCAAAAGTCTCCTCACAGACTTAAGTAAGGGGGTTGCATCCCACACTAATCCCCTGATTGGCTGATCACATCAAATCACATAATGAGGTGATGATTACATAACTGCCAAGCCACTGAGAATAATGGCCCAGCCAAGTTGACAGTTGTTTTGTGAGGGCATAGTTCAATCCATGACAGATTACTTCCTTCCATATGATGTTTTAGGGGTCCTTCTATATTGTAGCTCTGCCAACTCTAAAAGTTGTATCTTTCTCTGAATCCAGGAAGCATAAAGGGAACAAGAGAGCATGGAGAAAGTACACCCACTTCAAAATGCCTTGGCCTGAAGGCAACATGTATCTCCTCCATTCATACCAAGTCCTTGAAAAGTTAGCCCTTGGTTGGGCAACCATGGTTGAGGAGTCAGAAAAAACAGGTCCTAGAATACACCCGGAAACCTTGGCAAAGTCATCTCACATCTTGGGTTTCAGTTTACTTCTGCTCCAAGACAACAAAGTTACCTATCTTCCATCTTCCTCCTCAAGCTCCAAGTGGTTATTCTGTAGCATAAGCACAAGAAGGAATGAGCTACAGTTATTTCACCAGTGACAAAATGAGGGAATATAGGGAAAAGGCCAGAACTTCAGGGAACAGGACTGGACCCCAGATGGGGAGAACGAAGCAGTAATAGGATCAACACCTCGGGTCATGAGAAGAGGTATGCGTGTGGGTAAGAGTTTGCTTTCATCAGGGCTTCTGTGGAGTCAGACTCCACCCAAAGTTTGGAGACTGCAGAGACAGAGAAGCTACCAGGACCCAGATAGCTGGCAAAGAAGATAACCATCTAATGCTGAAGTTGAACTTGTCCAGAAAGACCATCTTGGACAAATATTTTCCAACTCTTGTTTTTCAGAACAGGGAGAGCTTGAGTAACCACAGGAGTTCCACAGAGCATTTTGCAAATCCCTGGTCCAGCCTCATTACTTCAGTGAGATGATAAAATGGAATCCCAGAGAACAGATGTCATCATCTAAAGGTCAATGAACAAGTTTGTTGCCTAGCTGGGACTGAAATTCGGGTTTCCTGGCTCCTAGTTCTGCACCTTGGCTTTTCAAACTGGTTGTACATGCAGAAAAGAACAGAGGCCAGGGGCACCTTAAGGATGTGATCTCATAGGAACAAAGATTCCGAATCTGTCAACACCTCCCTCTGCTATCTGTATGCTGGAGACTCCCCCTTTACAAACTCACAGGATTCCAAGAATCTCACATCAGCGAAGTCACCTAGACCACCTCTCACTTCCCAATGTAAGGGTCACCTGAGCAGTCTTGTGATAGAGAACTTTCCATTGGCTCATATTAATAGGTCTTATTTACTGTAGTTCCAACCATGTGTCCCATTACTGTTTTTCATTATACACACCCAGGTCCTCTGCCCCAGGACAGTCCTTGGAATAATGGAGGGTGACTTCCAGGCTCTCCTCCCCACCCCCCTATGATTTTCTAGATTATATCTCGCATTGTTGTTGGCTTTCTGACATTTCTCCTCTTCATTTCCTGGTGCACTACTCTGTATGTTCTCCATTTGATCTTCTCCTGAAAATGCCTCATGCTCTGGGGACAAAATTACTAAAGCAAGTGGATCCCTACCTGCATTCTAAGCGCCATCACTCCATCAATACATCCCTAGATAAAGGTGTTTTTCAGCCTTTGCACCCTCTAGGTGGAATTGTAACATCGTTGACTAAAACATCAGTAATTTACTGTTTTTTTGACACTGTGGTACACCTTGCTGAGTCCCACCCTTTCCACTCTACACACTCTGTCTTTAATTTAAAGATAGATCTAAAGGCAGGGCCTCACAGTCTTCCCAGGAAATTTTGCATTATTCTATTCAGACCACAATTCCAAACAGCCCAGATCTTCCAGGATCTTAGTTCTGGTTCCCCTCACCTCAGTTTCCTTCCCCCAGAACAAATTCAAGCCAGTCTTCTGTGTCTTCATTCAAGTCACTGATCCCCTCACCAGACCACTCTTCCTCTGGCTCATCTACTCTTTCAGCATGAAAGAAACATGAGTCATCCCATCCCATGAGGTATGTAGGGAGATTAGAACCACATAGGCCATGCTTACACTAGAATGTTAGATGACTGGAGCAGAGTGTCAGTGGAGTTTAAAAGACAGAGAAAGACAGTGAGGAAGAGTTATCAGAAATGGCCTTGTTTGTCTCCTCCCCATGCTTCATTCTACTCTTCATCTAACAAATTCTGCATGTGTGCTTTTCCAAATTCTCTGTGAGACTATGTGTTATTTGTAAAACCAGAAAAAAAAATAAACAGAAAATAAAAATAAAATGAAAAGAAGACTCTTCTCCTGGAAAACTCACCACCCTCTTGGGGAGGGGCACTTACCATTCCCATGTAACAAGAACTGTCTTGGCTTCCAATTGAATTTTCCTTCCTACCCACAGGGTCCAAGGCATCCTCCCACCTACCAGGGAGAAAGCCGGGGAAAGAAATACCAGCACCATAAGGGAGTGGTGGGGACCATCACCATAAGGGGCTTACCTGGTCTACTGGGCCCCAGCTCCCAGTACCAGGCAAATTCACCCCCACCCCCTCTTGTTGTTCCCGCCTAAGGCACTTTTCCTGCCAGCAGGTTTTGGAAAAGACCCCCCCCCAAGCGGTGAGGGAAAAAAACCAGCCAGGAGAACGACCCACTTAGTCCACTTCCAGTGGCCGGACTGCCTAAGGAGCCCACGGTCCGGGGAAGCCCCTGACCCTTCCGGGACTTGGTTTACCTCCCTCTGACCAGCAGAGGGCGCGCGCCACCCGCGAGAAGCAAGATGTCGCTCCAAGGTGAGACCGGATTGAAAAGGAAGCAGAGCCCGAGGAAAAACAAGTGATGGAAATACTAACACAGGGGTTAGGTCGTGAATGAGGGTGAAAAAGAGTCGGAGTGAAAGTGGAATGAGGTGTGAAGGTGGAGGGAGGTGTGAAGGTGAGAAAGAGATGTAGGTGGAAAAGGGGTGAAATGGAGGGAACGAAGGTTGAGACGGGATGAAGGTAAGGCGAGGTGGGTTGAAGATTGGGATGAGGTGAAGGGCTTGGGTGAGATGGGGTGTAGGTGAGCTAATGTTGAGATTGAGGGGTGAAAGGTGGGTTAAAGGCTAAACCGAGGCGACCAGAGTCCGGATGTAGAGAGGGCGGGACCAAGCCCACCCACCAGGGACTCCTCGTTTCTATCCTGCAGCACTCAAGCCTGCTTCGCCCCCTACTCCCGTTTCTCTCAAGCTCTTCCTTGGCCAGTCTTTCACCTCAGGTTTGGCCTTAGCCTCTCCTCTCCCCGACACCTCCCCCTCAACACACACACCACCACAAAATATATATATCTGACGCCGCAAAGAATAGAAGAAGCATCCGAGAGCTCACGAAATTTAATGGGGCATGAAGGGAATAGAAAGATATTGGGCAGCCCTGTGAGAGAATGGGACGAGTGGAAAGGGCCCCCAACCCCGGAAACTACAGTGAAGTATATAACTGGAGGGGCGGTCAGAGGCCCTAACCAAGCCAAGTCAGGCCCAGGGAAGAAATGCTTGGCAGAGTCTCCACATGCTGGGGTCAGGGCAGCTCCATGGAGGAGAGAAAAGACGAGGAAATACTTGGAATTCAAAAGAGAAGATCAACCTGGCAGCACTTTGAGAAGCCAGGCCAAAGTGTAGGTGGTGGAAGAGAAAGACTGAGGGGCCAGGGAACACCCCTTGGGGCTCTGGGGACTTGGAAGAAGGGAGTTAGGGAAGCCACAGTCGCCCTCCTCCCCAGGGTTTGGGGAGTGTTGATGTTAGCTGCCATTGAGTCACTCCAGACTCACGGTGACCCCAATGGCTTACAGAGTCGAACTGCTCCATAGGGCTTTCCTGGTTATAATCTTTCTGGTAGCCAATTGCCAGGCCGTCCCTTTCGCTGATCTGCTAGATGGGTTCCATGGGTTAACAGTCGATGACAAACCGCTGGCGACAATCAGGCTCTACTAAACCTGATGTCATGGGGCCATTCTGACTCATGGTGAGCCCATGTGAGGCGGCTGGACATCTAGAGTTGAAGGAATGTTAAGGACGCTTCAGGGCCCTCCTCCCCAACTGGGTGCATCGCGGGTGGGGTAACATGTAGAATTAAAGGAGCATTAAGGGAGGCTTCGGACCCTCTCCCGCAGGCACAGATGACGTTGGGCAAGGCCCTGGGCATCTGGGAGAGGCGACACGGTCCCCCGGTCGCCCCGTCTAGTGGTAATGGCCCCCTAAGTGCGAGGCAGCGGCCACTGTGCCGAAGGGCCCGGGCGGGTGCTGCAAACCCGGGCTGGGGTAGAGCGCGGCCGTGGCAGTGGCAGCGGGGCCCGGACCCGGCCAGTAGGAGAAGCCAGCGGGCGCAACGCCGGCCGAGGCGGCCATGAGGTTGAGTTTGGAGAGGCCGGGGAAAGGTAGCGGCGCGAGGCCGGCGGGCAGCTTGTAGAGCGCCGCGCCGTCCTGGGCTGCGGCCGCGGCCGCGGCAGCCGCGGCAGCTGCATGGGCATGCGCGGGCGGAGGCTGGCAGGCCTGAGCCAGGCCCTGAAAGTCGAAGCGGTAGGCGTAGCGTTTGCCGTGCACCTTACTCATGATGTTTTTGTCGTAGTAGTAGCGCAGCGCGCGGCTCAGCTTGTCGTAGTTCATGTTGGGCTTGCTCTTGCGCTCGCCCCAGCGCCGCGCCACCTCGTCCGGGTCGGTGAGCTTGAACTCGCCGTGACCGCCCTCCCACGCGATGCAGCCGGCATTGGCGCGGTCGGCCAGCAGCTCCAGCAGAAACTGCCACAGCTGGATCTGCCCACTGCCTGCGAGGAGGGGATGGTCAGCCCCGGGTGGGAGGGCAGGTGGGAGCTGGGGGCTGAGGTGGGCTGGAGACCAACACGACCCACCTGGAGCCGGCGTCGGGGAGGGAGCGCGCGCGCGAGTCCAGCCCAGCAGCTGCGCGAGTCGCGAGCGGCCAGCCCGGCGGGGAGGGTGGCAGGGTGGAGGGAAAGAGGCTATTCCGAGGCGTGGTCTCCAGCCCCGACTGCGCTTTGGCACAAAGAAACTACACCGGTTCCGCGGGGGCATGGCTTGGTGAAATCTGGGTTGAGGAGCAAGGAGCATCGCTGCCGCCTCATAGAGGCAACAGCACACAGAAGCGCACGGCTTTCCGAGACAAGCAGCGGCCGATTGCAGCCTTTTATAGCCGTCGCTGCCGGACGCCCTTATTCAGCGCAGGGCCTGCGCAGAGGCAAGAACGGTCCTGGGCGGGTGACTGACTGGCTACGCCATCCCTCCGCCAAAGACCCAGACGGGAAGGGGCGACGGCGACAGTATTGCCCAGTCCCTGTTCTTCAAGGCACACAGTTAGATAGTCCCGCCTGAGATGTAGAAGAAGGGCCGGTTGGCTTTCTGGTGTTAGACAGATATGAGACTGTGGCCCCTAGACGTGAGAGATGGGTGGGGTCTTAGGCCACTCCCCACCCCCGCCGCCGCCGCCGGGTACGCAGAGATCTCCTGCGCTGTTTTCCTTTGGCCCTGTTTCGGAACAGACGGGATTCCCGGTGTTCCAAGGTGCCTTGGTCCCCTGTCTCTTCCTGTCCCTAGCTCGTCTACCTGCAATTCCGGAGCTCGGAGTTGCTAAAGGCAGGTTGTGAGACGGTGGAACCCTAGAACTCCTGCTCCCCTCTCTTGGTGCCTCAATCAGACAAACGTGATGGAATTACAAACACGCACATTAAGAATAAAACGGATTTAACCTCGAAACCGTCTGATCTTTGCCTCAAATCGAGACTGGCTAAATCCTTTCTTTTTCAACGACCTGTTCAGAACCCAGACACTGCCCACCCCTACAACCTCAATCCCAACCCGGCAATTGGCGGGCTCGAGGTCGTGACTGCAGAGTTTTAGCATCAGAAGCAGAAAGTTTGGGATAAAAACGTGCCTCTGGCACCGATGGGGTAGCAACATCAAATTGTTCCTGCTGGCCTTCCTGTTTCGTTTGGGTAAAGGAGTTGCCAACCTTGTTTCTGCTGTTAGTGTAACTTGGTGGATCCAGGGTTCTGGCTTAAGCGGGGGCTGTGACTATGCAAAGCCAACAGGATTTAGCGCCCCACAGCGAGCCTCGGAATCAACTGCCAACGCCCGAGCAACCTGGACATTACAACCAGTGAGGAGAGTAATTCTGAGCCCTTTGGCGACTGGTGAAGTGAACTTGAGCGTCTGCTGCCAGTAGGGAAAGGACACCAAACACCCCAACCCAGGCCCCAGGGCCCGGAAAACTATACTCAGCAGAGTAAGGCTCTGGGCAAAATCCTCTCCACCTGTCCCTCGTCCGCAAGCTCAGCACTAGGGCTCTGAGGAAGCAGGAGTGGCCACGTTCCTCAGGCCCTCCAGCGATTAGGCCCGGACCCTGCGCTTCCCAGGGCCGGACTCGCACCTGGCTCCCACCCTCTATATTCTGGGCTTGGTACCCTGGCCGCCAATCCACTGTTCTCATGCTGCCTGCCCAGTTCTCCAGCCAGCTCACCTTTCTGCACCGCGGGACTCAGCGGCCCCCAGCCGGGACTCTTGCCGTCCTTGAAGAGACCATCTCCAACAGGATCTGCAGTAGCGGAATAAAGTAGTCAGAAGGGCCACGATGCAGGCGGAGGTTGTGGGGTTGGTAGAAAGGGCCCCAGACCAAGGATCCAGGGGTGCCGTGGTCCCCGAGAGTAAGGCTGGGGGTCCAGGCAGCCCAACTCCTCCTCCCCGAGCCAGCCCCGGCGCGCGTGCTGCGCAGAGCCCCTCTGCAGCGCCCAAGTCAGGAAACGCGTCCAGGAAAAAGGAAATCCGCTCTCCGAACGGGCCGGCGGGAGCCTTATAAAGCCGAGCGGGGGTGCGCCAGCGAGCCGGAGCGCGGGTAGCCCAACGGGGAAGAGAGGAGGGCGCCTGGAGGGCCAGGCCGGTGGGGACACGCGGAGCATCGAGGTGAGGAGAGGCTAGGGCTCAGGGGCGGCGCTCAGCCGAACAGTCTTCTGACATAGCGCACTGAGGCCACCACCAACCGACCACCCCTGCTCGAGGCTATTTCGGACCCAGGTCTGGACCAGCGTCCTAGACGTCCCAGGATTCCAGTCCTCTAGTCCCCACAGCGAAACTCCTACGCTCCCCATGTGCCTTTAAGGTCCCCTTTCCTTCCTTCATTGCTCAGCGCTCCCAGCTGCGGGAGTCGCCGGGCCTCGTCCCTTTCCCTCCGTTCCCGGCGTCCCCTTCCTGTGCCGGAGCCCAGACTTCCCGTCCCGGGTCCTGGTGCCTCTAACCCCCGGCTGGTCCCTGGTACCTGGCAGGTACATGTTGATCAGCAGGGGCTGGGAGGCGCCGCTCTGTCTCATCGCCGCCGGGGACTGGGCGGTGGGATGTGGGGGGGCACGGGTAGGGGATCGCGTCAGGCTTCGCGCTCGGGGCACCGATCCCCGCCCGAGGCGCCCGCGGGTGATGGGGTGGAGAAGACGGCGCTCGGTCCAGAGGGGCCTGGCGGGAGGGGGCAGCCTGGGTGTGGCGGGGGTGGGGGGTCCTTGGGAGCGACGATCCTAGCTACCGGGCTGCTTGGAACTCTCCGGCCCCCGCGCGTCAGGGGCTGCAATTTCCGTTTTAATTAAAGCGCCGCAGCCTGGGCCCCCCGGACCCGCCCCCGCCCCCCTTATCGGCCCATCGCAATAATGTCTCCAGCGCGCGGCGTCGCAGCCAAGCGCACCATGCCGCCCCCAGCGCCCCACAGCCAGGAGACCGCGGGGGATGGGCCTGGGCGCCCGTTCGGACAGCGGCGGGAGCGCCTGGCTTTTCCGCCTCCCTGACTCTCGGCAAACAGTGATGGGGCAGAGGTGCCCGCTCCACCTCAGACCCCCGCGGCCACGGCCCCATCCCCAGAGCTTCTCCCCGCCCCTCCCACCTCACCCCACCCTTTCTCCCCGCCACCCAGTTCCCGTCTCCAGGCTGCGTTATCTGCATCTTCACTTTTAAATTTCCGCTTCCCTCCCTCTCGCCTGTCGCTGCGCTCTCAGCCAGCAGCCGTTGCTCCCTTTATCTCATTCCCCCCTTTGCGCCTTCTCTCCCCCTTCCTCTCCCACTCTTCGCTCTTCCCTAGAGACCCGATCCCCTTCTCAGCCTCTCTGGGGCTTTTACCCATTTCCTGACATCCCACAGCTTCCCAGCCCTAGGCCATCAGGCGCTGAGGCGCACCCCCTCCATACTTTCCTTAGGTCTCTACTTCCTCTACTGTCTCTGCCTCCTTTCTCTCCTACCCCCATCTCTCTTCCAGTTTCCTCTCTCATTCTTCCACCTCCCTTTCTGATTCTTTCAGTTCCACAATTATTGCCACCCATTCTTCCCTGTCCCCTGTCACCCAGCCTACCACCCACCCTCACTTTTCCCAGCTGCATTTGACACCTTGCTCTAGAACAGATAACAAAGCTAAGACAGGGCTGAAGTATTCAGTTGTATCGATTGTGGACTGTACAAGGCCCTGAGCCAGGAACCAGTGGAGACAGAAATCCACCTGGAAAAAGGGATCCCTTTCCTTAACTTATGCCAGAATGCTGATGTGTTATTAGCTGAAGGGACTCCCAAATTACCTGTGGCGCTTCCAGGTTCTAGAGAGACAGGCTAAGGAGGATGAAGCTGAAGCTGAGGTCCAGCCCACCCTCTGCAGCCACCCTTGGCTACTGTTACAATCCTAAATTCAAGGCCCTTCTCTTTCATTACTTAAGTCCAAGAGGTGAGGAGACCTGGGGCTTTGGTGTCCCACAGAGTGGGGCAAACTGGGGGAATCCTAAGACCCCATAGGATCCTAGAAAAATAGATTTGGGGCTTCAGATTGTGGACATGGAATCTAGCGAAGAGCTAGAGGTTGGGATGATCCCTGCACTGCCTCCCTCTGTCTTAGTTATCTTGTGGTTAAGTGTCTTTGAGTCAGCTCAGATCCATAGCGACCCTGTAAAGCATTTCCAAGGAGTAGCTGGTGAGCTTGAACCAGAAATACCACATCTGGAAGGCTATATCAAATAAGAACGTATATTCTTACAGTTTGTTGTTGTTGTTAAGTGCTGTCAAGTCGATTCCGATCCAAAGCGACCCTGTATAGGGTTTCCAAGGAGCAGCTGGGGAGCTTGAACCACGGACCTTGCAGTTCAAACGGCTTTGCAGTCTGGGGCATTAACCCACAGCACCACACCACGACTCCATTCTTACAGTTTAGGAGTCTAGAAATCTGAATTAAAGGTCTGGCTCAGGGGAAGGATCTCTCTCTGTGTTGGTTCTGAAGTAAGGTCCTTGTCTCTGAGCCTCTGCTCCTAGTTGATCATAACGTGGCGTGCATATCTCGGAACCCTCTCTCTTCTCTGCTTGCTTGTTTAATCTCTTTATACCTCTAAAGAGATTGACTCAAAATACACCAACAGGAATTCAGTCTCCTGGTGTGGTGCTGTGGGTTAATGCCTCAGACTGCAAAGCTGTTTGAACTGCAAGGTCGGCGGTTCAAACTCACCAGCTACTTCTAGGAAACCCTATACAGGGTCACTATGGGTCGGAATTGACTTGATGGCACTTAACAACAACAACAACATAACAAAGACAACCCACTCCCTAATGAGACTATAAACTCATGCATATAGGTTAGGATTTATAACTCATGTACTTTGTTGTTGTTAAGTACCTTGGAGTCAGTTCAGACTCATAGTGACCCTGCACAGGGTTTCCGAGGCTGTAAATCTTTACGGGAGCAGAAAGCCTCATCTTTCTCCCATGGAACAGCTAGTAGTTTCGAACTGCTGACCTTGAAGTTAGCAGCCCGATTTGTAACCACTACACTACCAGAGCTCCTTATGTGCTGTGGAGTCGGTTCTGACTCATCGCTACCCTGTACAGGGTTTCCAAGGCTGTAAATCTCTACGGGAGCAGAAAGCCTCATCTTTCTCCCATGGATCAGCTGGTAGTTTCAAACTGCTGACTTTGCGGTTTGCAGCCCGATTCATAAATGAGGATTAAGGCACATACCATATAGTGTTATAAGATAACACATCAGGAGTGTTCAGAACCAGGCTCTTATAAGTGTTAGCTATTATGTTGCAAAGTATTGAAATGTACAAAGACCTAGAGTTAGAAAACCATAGAGGAAGAACATGCTCTGCATTTCTCAAACTGAACGAATTGAAGAAAAAAAAATGCAGGCCTTGAGTTGCAATATTGAAGGATTTGATTGGATAAGTACTGCTAACTGAAAGTTCCGTGGTTTAAAACCATCAGCCACCCCTCGGGAGCCCTATACAGAGTCGCTATGAGTTGGAATTGACTGAATAGCACTTAACAACAACAACATGCACAAAGGAAGTAACCAAAGAAGATGGAAAGATTACACAGTCACTGCGCCAAACAGAATTGGTAGACATTCAACCATTTCAGGAGGTAGCATACGATCAACTGAAAGTACTGAAGGAACAAACCTAAGTGTACTGAAAGTACTGGTGAAAAAACAAGGTTCCAGGAACTGATGGAATATTCATTAATATGTTTCAACAAAGGGCTGCAAGGCTGGAAACACTCATCTATGCCCAGAAATATGAAAGACAGCTACCTAGCCAACCAATTTGAAGAGATTCAATTTGTGCCCATTCCAAAGAAAGGTCATCCAGTGGAATATGGAAATTATTGAACAATATCATTATTCTCACATGAAAGTAAAATTTTGCTGAAGATAATTTTAAAATGTTTGCAGCAATACATAAACAGGGAACTGCCAGAAACACCAGTCAGATTCAGAAGAGGACATGGAACAAAGGACATGGAAAGCAGAGAATACCAGAAAGATGTTTGCCTGTGTTTTATTGACTACAAAAGGTATTTGATAACCTTTTTATCAACTGGATAACATTGTGAAGAATGAGAAGTTCAGAACACTTCATTGTGCTCATGAGGAACCTATAAATAAACCAAGACGCAATCATTGAACAAAACAAGGCAATACCAAATGTTTTAAAACAGGAAAAGGTGTGTGTCAGGACTGTATCCATTCACCATATTTATTCAGTCTGAATACTGAGCAATAATCCCAGAAGTTGGACTATATAAATAAGAACGTAGTATCAGGATTGAAGAAAGACTCATTAACAGCCTATGATATGCAGATGGCACAAATTTACTTGGCTGAAAGCACTTACTGATGAAGATCCAAGACTACAGCTTTCAATATGGATTACACCTCAATGTAAAGAAAACAAAAGTTCTCACAAATGGATCATACTAAATGGGGAAAAGATTAAAGTTATCAAGGATTTCGTTTTACATAGATTCACAATCAGTACCCAAGGAGGCATAAAATCTCTTTAAAGTATTTAGAAGCAAAGATGTCACTTTGATGACTAAAGTGACCTGATGTAAGTCATGGTGTTTTCAATTGCCTCATCTACACATGAAAGTGAGACAATGAATAAGGAGAACTGAAGAAAAATGGATGCATTTGAATTGTGGTTTAGGCAAAGAATATTGAATATACCATGGACTTCCAGAAGAATGAACAAATCTGTCTGGGAAGAAGTACAACCAGAATTCTCCTTAGAAGCAAGGATGGTGAGACTTTCTCTCATGTACTTTGGACATGTTATCAGGGAGACCAGTTCCTAGAGAAGAACATCATGCTTGGTAAAGTAGAGAGTCAGCAAAAAAGTAGAAGACCCTCATTGAGATCCCTGACATAGTAGCTAAACCAATGGACTCAAACAATGGACCTCAAGTATTGTCAGGATGGCACAAGACTGGGCAGTGTTTTGTTCTGTCGTGCATAGAGTAGCTAGGGGTCTAAACTGACTCAATGGCACTGAACAATATTGTTACTATTACCATCCCCCAAAGGGATAGCTAGAGCCAGGTACCTCCTCTGGGACCAACAGAGGTTTGGGGCTCTGTTGAGGCCTGAGGCATTTAATTTCCACTTACTCTAGAAGTTATCTTATAATAGCCTTATCCTATATCCTTCTGTTCACATCCTAACTTTATCATCAGTTTAAGTGGGTGATTATATCAAGATTTCTCCTCTCTGAGTGCCAGTTTCTTCATTGGTGAGATGGATGAAGAATGAAGGGTGTTGTTGTTAAGTGCTGTTGAGTCAGTTTTGACTCATAGTGACCCTGTGTACTACAGAATGAAACATGGTCCCATCCTGAATCATCCTTATGATCATTTTTCTGTTTGACCTCATTGTTGTTACCACTCTGTCAATCTCTCTTGAGGGTCTCTCTCTTATTTGATGACCTTCCACTTCTCCAAGCCTTATGTCCTCCAGGGACTGGTCCTTCCAGACAACATGTCCAAAGTATGAGAGACAAATTTTCACCACCGTCACTTCCAAGGAGCAATCTGCTTTATTTCTTGAAGGGTGTTGTTGTTAAGTGCCAATTTATAGCCAACCTATGTACAAGTTCCTGTGCCATCCTCACAGTTTTTGTTGCTTGTTGCTGCCAACACTGTGCCAGTCCATCTTGTTGAGGAGTGTCTTCTTTATCGTTGACCATCCACTTTACCTAGAATGGTGTCCTTCTCCAGGGACTGGTCCCTCCTGATAATATGTCCAAAGTATGAGAGATGAAGTTTGGCCATCCTTGGCTTCTAAGAATCATTCTAGCTATACTTCTTCCAACACAGATTTGTTTGTTCTTCTGTCAGCCCACAGTACTTTAAATATTCTAATGCAACACATTAACTCAGATGCATCAATTCTTCTACAGTCTTCCTTATTCATGGTCCAACTTTCACATGCATATGAGGCAGTTGAAAATACCATGGCTTGGGTCAGGTGCCTTAGTCCTCAAACTGATAACTTTGCTCTTTGAAGAGTTTTGCCTGATGCCATACATCATTTGATTTCTTGACAGCTGATTCCATGAGTGTTGATAGTGGATCCAAGCAAAATAAAATCTTAGACAACTTCAGTCTTTTCTCCATTTATCATGATGTTATTTATTGGTCCCATTTGTGAAGATTTTTGTTTTCTTTACATTGTGATGCAATCTATACTGAAGGCCACCGTCTTTGATCATCATCAGTAAGTATTTCAAGTCCTTTTCATTTTCAGCAAACAAGGTTTTATCATCTGCATATTGCAGGTTGCTAATGAGTCTTCCTTCAATCCTGATGCCATGTTCATCTTCATATAATCCAGTTTCTGGGATTATTTGCTCAGCATAGAGATTGAATAAATATGGTGAAAGAACACAGCCCCAGCACACACCTTTCCTGATTTTAAGCCATTCAGTATCCCCCTTGTTCTAGTTGAATGACTGCGTCTTGGCCTGTGTATAGGTTCCTTGCGAGCACAGTCACGTGTTCTAGAATATCCATTCTTCACAATATTATCCATAGCTCATTGTGATCCACATAGTCAAAAGTCTTTGCATAGTCAATAAAGCACTGGCAAACATCTTTCTGGCATTCTCTGCTTTCAGCCAAGATCCATCTGATTTTAGCAATGAAGGATGTTAGGGGGGTCAAATGCAACAGGGACCACAGACTGTAGAGTCATAAAACAGAATTCATAAATTGCTTGGAGCTTCATTCCTTGGCCCACAACCCTGAAATCCCTGGGGGAAGGCAAGGGAAGGAGGATTCTACATCAACTGCCTCAATGCTTCTCCGTAACACCTGCAAGCATTTCTAGGGCTTTCTCACTGTATCCTCACAATGATTTTAAAGGTGAGCTTCTGGTGTGGCACTCTAGGGTAAGCTCAGGACTCCAAGGTCAGTTTGAACTACAAGGTCGGTGGTTCAGATTCACCAGTCACTCCTCAGAAACTCTCTACTGGGTCACTATGAGTCACAATGGACTCAGCAGCACTTAACAACAACAACAAGGGAATCATGGCTTAAGGATGTTATGTAACTGGGTCCTAGGTATTCTGAATGGTGGTCCAGGGCTACTTTTTAAGCTGACTCTACAATCGGGACCCAGGGGACTAGCAGGCACAGATCTGATTGCTCTCTAACACCATTCTGCCTCCCCTGGGCTGGGGAAGTGGTAGGTCCACTGTGGGGGACTGGAAAAGAAAAGCATCCCTGGAGGATAGGATGTGGGGGCCAAGAGCCATCAGAGCCTAAGAAGAAACCACACCGGTGACAGGGATGCTGATGACTTCTACTACGCTCAGCCCCACCTGCCCCACCTAGTTAACCCAGGTTAGCTAGGGTGACTGGCTGAGGGCTGGTCTCTCCAGCTTATCAGTCCTCTGAAGAGTGGGGAGGGACAAGAAGAGTGAAGACAGGGTTGTTTGGATTAGCTGAAATCAGGGATATAAAAATATATATATATATATTTTAATACTATAACTCAGAACTTTGTAAGGAACTGTTATTATTCAGACAAGGTATCTGGGTATGGGACTCAGAGAGAGGAAGCCTCCCCTTTAGAAGGCTCTGAGAAACAATGTGACCTCCCACTTGCTCCTCCTCTCACATCTGTTCCTCTATAAAGGCAAAGACTCTATGAAGCTAGGATTGGAGAAGAGGACTATTCAAAGAGGTGCAGGCTTCCCTTGGCTGAGTGGGGAACCAGGATGAAGATAAAGTCTGAAAATGTTCTGAAGGCTAGAGAGGAACTTAGCAGAGCTTCTCCACAGGGTTAAGGAACTTAGCAGAGCTTCTCCACAGGGTTAAGGAGATTTTACCAGTACCTGGTCCAGGGGACATGTGGACTTTGAAACCCCTGCCATGGAGCTATGGACACCCCACCTAGATGATGGCAAAGGTGCCATCTGGGCTAGCCAGCCATATTCCTGGTCCAAGCTGATGAGTCTTTTTTTTACCAAGGATAGGTATGAAATTACTTGTAACAGGATCCCCTGGGATTCTTACCTGTGACTTTTTAGCACCATCAGAAGCTACCCACACATATCCTAAGTCTGTTTATGGTCCTTAGTCAGGGACCTCGGAGCCTGAGAGGAGGGGAAGGTTGACAGTGGCAAGGATAAGGATGGAGATCACAAAGCAGGGGCAGGTAGATTCAGGAGACTTTATTGGGTCCTCAGCAGGGGTGTCTGGAATCTCAGAGCCTAATGCTGGACTCTTCTAATGGACCACAGCTGCCTGGTGTGGGCATGAGTGCCAAATTTGCTGTAGATCCGAAACTCCCTGTTGTGCTGGCCTGGCTCCAAGACATACTGGGTACTGGTACCAGTAGACCAGTAGCCTGGGTACTAGTAGACCACCCACCTAGGCCAGTGAGACCACAGTAGTGGTGACTAGGTCCTGTCCTGCCCTAGCATCTCCCCTGTATCAGGTTTCCAAGGAGCAGCTGGTGAATTTGAACTGTCTACCTTGCAGTTCAAATTGATCTTTCAATCTAATGCATTATCCCACAGTGCCACACCAGGACTCCCCTATCTCCACCTAAAACCTCCATTAGTACTCCCCCTTTCTAATCTCCCTGACCCCAGCTTTCTAATCTCCCTGACCCCATGCCTTCCTGGCCTACTGCTCCCTAACATCATTGTCTTTGGCTTGCCTCTTGTCCCTGCCTCTCATTGCCTCATGCATGTGTCCAAGCCCTTCCTCTCATCCCACATTGTTCTTCCCCATCCCCCTATCCTTTCTTTTCTCTTTCCCTCCCAGTTTCCATCATTTCACTTCCCCCCTTACCTTTAAGTTCCCCATGTCTTCTCCCCATTCCCATAACCCTTCCCCACTCACCTTCATGGTCTTCATTGCCTCCCTGCTCTTATTCACATGTCCCTTGCTCCAGCTCCAGACTGACTTTGAGGGAGCCCACATCTTTTCTGGCCCAGCCCATGGCAGACAGGGATGGGGGGGGGGTCGTTATTGAGTTCAAACTTGCAACCCTGGAAGTTTTCTCCTTCAAACAGTGTCACGTGGCTATCCGTGGTTCTGAAGCACAGGAAGGTGGGAGGGGTCAGGAGGGTGCCGGATGTGAATGGCCTCATACTCAGCCCAACAGAAGTTGTGCAGTCACTTAGGTCCCACAAATGCTTCCTGTATTCGCTCTAGTAGCTCCCAGGTAAACTGAATAACCTTCTCCAGTCCCTCCTGTGGCTTTGGGCTGAAGTGGTGAAATGAAGAGTAGGAGGAAGAAGACCCAAAGGTATTTCCAGGCCTGGGGTGGAAAGCATCTATTTTGCAGGAGAAAATAAGAGGTCCTAAGAGAATCTGGTTCACTGACCAAGACAAGCCCCCTAAAGAGCCCACTGACCCCACCTCTGGACCCTACCACTCACAGGACAGGGCTCAACTAAGGGGAATCTGATGGCAGAGTCAGAACACACAGGTCAGGGAATTGGCATCAGGTCTTGGCTTCTTCAGTCTCCCCTGTAAGTCTTCTCTGCTCCTGAAATGGAGAAAGTGGACTAGATCAGGACCAGCTCATAGCCCTCCACCTTCCAGTACCATACCTAGGCCAGCACAGCTGAGACATGCAATCCTCCTTTCCAATGTATTGATTCATTATCAAACCTGCCTCCTACACACACACACACACACACATTGAGACCCACCTTCTTCTCAACTTGATCGTTGGACTCAGTTATAGTCTCATTTCCATGTTACCCCTTGTGATCCTGGGCAAGTCACTTTCTCTCTATAAGCCAACTCAACCTCACAGGGCTGGATGAGCAGAGGGGCTCACCCTTGTGGACACCTAGATGCTGCCCGTGGACAGGCATGGTCTTGGCGCTGTCCGTGGTGCTGATTCCTGGTTGGCCCACCATTACAACCTTCTGAATCTCCACTAGTATGGAGATGTGATTTCACCACCACCCATCTAGAAGTTGTGTTATGACCCCATTCAAAGAGTGGGTGGCTTTCCCTGCACTGTAGTGAGGCCAGAGCCTGGAGCTAGGGTGCAGTGGAAGAAGTAGGAGGGGGAGCCAACATGCTCACCACACACAGAAGGGCAGCAGCTGACACTCCCAGTGAGGATAGTCACCCTTCTCCAGAATGAACTGCTGTCCCTGGAAGTCGGGGTACTCAAAGCCCCACCCAGTTGGTGAAGAAGAAGAAGAGCTAGGAGGCATTTCCACAAATTCAATCTTTCCTTCCCTGGCCCTTGCTTACTGGATTGAAGAGGTCTTTTCCTCCAATCCCAGGCCCTTCCCTTCATCACACTTAGCACACATTACAGTAGATCCAGCCCTTCTGGAAAGTGAAGACCCAAATCAATTGCTATGTGAGGCATAGGCTTTTCATTCAGAGGCCTCAAGCTGGAAGCAATTTTCAGGTCCCAAGTTCAACCCTTCAAGGATTTAAGAGTCTGCAGTGAGGCCTCTCCCTACTTGCAGTAGCAGAAACCGCGGGGGGGGGGGGGGGGGGCTGGAAGGCTCTGCTCTCCCCAGGGTCCCAGGATGGGCTCTACAAGACTGGGCTGGGACCGACAGAGGTAGAGGTGGTTGGGCTACTTTTGTTAACGCAGAACCAATAAGTGCACGGAGAAAAACTTTGGGAGAGGATGTAACTACACCGAAAAATCCCTCTGGGGTTGTGGCAGAGGCAGAGTCCTCACTCACCTTTATCCTTTAGCTTCCCATGATTTGCTTTTAAGGGGAGGTGGGGAAGGAAAGGAAACTTCAGAGAGGCCACAGGGTCTGCCACGTTGGTGGTCACTTTCTCAGATCGAGAACACAGGTCCAAGGGTAGGAGGGCTCGGTACTGAGGTACCAGGATCTGAGCTTAGGTCTGGGAAGCCTGGTACCATTTCCCTTCCCTCCTGCCCCACCCAGAAGCCCAGTTGCGTCCAGGGATCACTCACGCGCCGCTTTCCACCTTAACAGAGAGTGCCCTGACGTTGGCGCAGTTGTTCAGTACTAGACAGTTTCAACCCTGGAAATACTAGCCGACCCACAGCGTGAGAAAGGCGGACGCAGGATCTTTGCGGCTGCGGGCGGGAGGGGTGAAACCTCGTGCGAGCTCGTCACTGGCCAGGACCGCCGAACTTGGTGGGGATGAAGGCCCGGAGGAGTAGAGCTGGGATCAGCCGCGAATGGCTCTCCCCAAGCCGGCATCGAAGACTTAATGGGTGGAGAGTGCCGCACAGTCAGAAGCTGCAGAGGCTGCGCGGCGGCAGGGTGCGAGGGGCTTTATACCCAGGGCTGACCCCCGCTCCTTCCACTCCCGCTGGGGTGGGTGCAACTGAGTCCACGGACAGGCTGCGGCCAGCTCGGGGTCCCAGAGATCCCCGGCCTGGCGAAGATCACAATGGAAAGTGCTGACCAGAGCCTCCAGCAGCCGCTTTTTCTTTTCGGGCCCACTCCCTCTGACCCTCCTAGGACAAAACGCATAACCTTTGCACAGAGGCCCAGGCTGATTCATGGCTCGGAAGTTTTTCCTAGCATCTAATGCCATCTCTTCTTCAACGCTAGGTCGAGGCCTTTCTTCTGGACGACGCTAGGATGGAGGCGCTCGGTGAACTACAGTCTACCTGACCCTCAGTCTTTGTTTTGGAGGATCGGGTTACTGAGGTCTCCGTTCTCTTAAGCGTGATTTCCAGACCTGGCCCTGCTCTGCCAGCTTTCCCCGCGGTAGTGCGACCGGCAGGAGGCGGTGACTCCTGGTCACCAGGTCAGGAGGCTGAGCACAGCGAATCTGAGGGCGTGCCGTTATAATCAAGGGAGCGCTCACTCAGATAGATAAGAAGGACGTTTCAACCTTAGGACTGCCTGACCCGGCCACTTTCAGGCCCCACACAGAGCTAGGAGTCTGGGAATTCCAGGCAAACAGCTACCTGAGAGCTAGCAGCTAATTCTTTTATATTTTCCTTTTAACTTTTTACTGTGAATTGAGTGAAGGTTTACAGAGCAGATTATCAGTTTTACATTCAACAAATCATACACTTGGTTTCATCCCAATGATTGCAATCCCTTCCATGCAACAGCAGTTATCCTGCTCTCTTCCTGTGATTTCTTATTTACATTCTAACCACCTTCTCATCCCTTCTCAACTTCACCCTTAGGAACATGTGACCCTTTTGATTTTGGATATTTGACCAATCCACAAACATATCTTGCTAGTGTTGTCATTCCTCCCTATAGACCTATCAGCTGCTTAGCTGAAAACTGCTCCAGAAGGGTGAGTTCCTTTCTAGACCTGAAGGCTGGTTGAGGACCATAGTCTCAATAAATTTGATCTTTTATTATTATTATTAAATAATTTTGAATTTCGTTCCATTCTCTCCTACTCTTTCTGGGGCTCTCTAATGTGATCCCTTTCAGGGCCGTTGGTAGTGGTAGCTAGGCACCATTTAGTTCTTCTGGTCTCAGTGTTCACATATTTCATTAATTTATTGGACTAATTGATTCCAAGCCTCTTCCATTCTTTTCCGACTTCTTTCTTGTGCACATGGAGATACCAACACCTAAGATGGCGGTTCTTGAGCTTTTACCATCCCAGACACTACCCACCCAAGCAAGATGTAAAACATTGTCTTTGTGGACTATTTTAGGAAAATTGGCCATGGTGTCCCCTTGAGACTATGATTCTGAGCCTGCAGACCCATCAACTCATTGCCTTAAGATGTTTGCTAATATCTAGGAAGTTTGCATCATTTTTCCCACTGTTCTGTGTGCTCCACTACATTTCAGAAAAGGTAAAATACTCATGTATAAATATCCTCTTTCAAAGTCTCATGTATTTGTGGGATATATACATACATACATATATATATATACACACACAGAGTCAGACTGACTCAACAGCACTTAACAACAACAACACACACACACATATATACTTCATTTTTCTTGGATCAACCATTAACACCCATGGAAGCAGCAGCCAAGAAATCAAATGATGTATTGCATTAGGCAAATCTACTGCATCCCAGTATCAGATGTAGTGGGGGAAGGGCAGGGAGATTATGAAGAAAAAAGACATGGGGAAAAGGTTTGAAGCTCCAGAAGGAAGCTCCATGGAGGAAATGTCCTGGCAACTCACAGTAGAATTTCCTAACTGCTGTGCTGTCAAAGGAACACAAAGACTTCTAGAAAAGTAATGAATCCTCCTTAATTAGGGATGTCCTGGCAACTCGCAGTAGTCACAAGATCTTTGCATGGCTGCCCGCTTCTTTGTTACCTCCACCACATCACCTGCATCTTTATAGCATGGATCACTCAGTAAAGCTGTCTTTGTCGGTCTTTCATTGATGGCTGTGCTGAGTTTCTCCATTACTAGTCTAAGCTCCATTCAAGAGGGCAGGGCTGTGTCTATCTTGTTCTCTCCACTGTTGTCTTCAAACCTAGAGCAGTGCTGGACATGTAATAGACATTCAATAAAACTTCTGGAGTGAATTAATGAGCACAATGATCAGGTGTGGGCCCACTAAGTAAAGGGAAAGGGGCTAATTCTCTATTGGTGGTGGGGAATGATTTACCCAGCCTACCAAGCTCACTTCTGGGATGCTGAGAACAAGCTCTGGGAGCAACCAATGCTTCCCTTGGGCCTCTCTTTTCCTGGTGAGGAATTGCTGTTGGAATTTACTTGTGTGTGACAGTGAGAGCCAGGAGTACTGGGTGGAATAAAGTTCAGGATGGGAGGATTTGGGTCAGAGGAGGGACAACCATACTAGACATAGACCTCAGTGTGTTCCCTGACTCCCTACCCTAGGCAGGGGTTGAACAAATAGAGTATTATTTCCCCACATTTCACAAGGGGAGACTCCAAACTACAGAGGGGATAAGAGCCAGCCCTAGAACTCTGGTGTCCTGGCCCTTCTCTTGGCCTCAGTTTCACAAGTCCAACTCTGGCAGCAAGATTGTTGTTGCTAAGTAACTTCAAGTTCGTTCCAACTCAAATCGACCCTGTATAGAGTTTGTTGTTGATGTTGTTGTGAAGTGCCGTTCAGACCCATAATGGCCCTGTAAAAGGTTTCCTAGGAGCATCTGGTGAGTTTGAACTGCCGACCTTGGGTTCAAACCGACCTTGTGGTTTAAATTATCCCACAGCACCCTGCCTGGAGCTCTCTTTTTCCTCTCTCCCACCCCCTGCAATTCTGGATTTGGCCACCAGGAGGCGGGGTAGGGCCACGCTGGCCGCTAAACTGAGGTGGGGGGTGCAGAGTAGGGAGAACTGGTGGGAAGCTGAGGTCTGGAGGGGCGGTAGATGCAGTCTGGTTGGTGACGCAGCCTCCGTGTGTGTTAATCGAGAGGGTCTGAGGGTGTCTCTCAAAGTTTGCACCTTGTGTTTGCTTCGGATTGAGGGTCTGTGCATGCTTCTGAAGCCAGAGTCCCACCTGGGGGTTTTGGGGAGTTTCCAGACCAGAGGGTGGTCGGAAGACTGTATTCCGCAGAAAGGTGTGTGTATTTTCAAGAGTTGAACAGCTGAACTCTGGGTTAGAATTTGGGGACCGTCGAGGGTGTGGGGTGGAAGCCTCGTGTGAGGAAGTATATCCCTGGAAGCGCTGATTCTGGCACTAGCCAGCCTTTCCCTTCTGCACCCAGTTTCCTCATGGGAGAGTGGTGAGGAGGGTCCACTGCCCCCACCCGTGCTGTCTACGGCTTTTCGTTGTGTCTGTCTGCAACCAACTCTTTTAAAAATGAGCATGATCACACACCCTGCCATTAGCCACTTTCGCAGAAGACTGGTTCACGTGGGGTCCACACAGCCTTGAAAACCCCTCCCAAGTACTGGGCTTGATAGGCACTGAGAAAGGGAAGAAGGAGTCTCTGAGGGAAAGCAACAAGGAAAGGGGCCTGGGGGGGGCGGGGAGGCACGCTTGGTGTGCTATAGTGGGACTCAGTTGCTACCCCTCTCTTGTCTTGTGAACCCCCTTCCAGTCTCCTCCTCTCCCCACCGGCCTGATCCAACGTTGGCACCCCGGGCTCCTCTTCTGCTCCCAGCAGCTGTTCCTATTTGTTTTCCTGGATGAGTTGCACTCCCAGCTTCCTGAAGGATGGGTGCACAGGTGGCTTTGTTTGTCAGCTCAGCACCCTCTTCACTACCCCCTCCACATCCACAACTCAACCTTGGACATGGTGCAGGGAGTTAGGTAGACAAAAAACCCCAGTGTCCAGACCTACACCTCATAGAGACCTCACAATCACATAGGATTCTCATCATTTTCCAAGAATCCGCCCCAGCTCAGTCCAAACCCATCCTCTGTCTCATATATGGATCTTTGGACCCTACAGCAAAATCCTCGGGATGTAACTCACACACTCTACCAAAACACCCATCCCAGATAGGTACCATAAGATCCCACAGTGAAGCCCTCAGATTCCACCCAAACTCCCATTCCATATTGTTGTTGTTAAGTGCCGTCGAATCGGTTCCGACCCATAGCGACCCTGTACAGGGTTTCTGAGGCTGTACATCTTTACAGGAGCAGAAAGCCTCATCTTTCTTCCGCGGAGAAGCTGGTAGTTTCGAACTGCTGACCTTGCGGTTCGCAGCCCAATTCGTAACCGACTCGACGGCACTTAACAACAACAACAACAACAACAATATACATTCCATATAGGGAGATATTTATTGTTGCTGGGAGACATTATTGTGACTGTTGAGTCAGTTCTGACTCATATAAACCCTGTATAGGGTTTCTTTGTTGTTGTTGTTAGGTACCATTGAGTAAGTACTGACTCATAGCAACCTTATGCACAGCAAAATGAAACACTGGCCGATTCTGGGCTCACCTCACAGAAAACCTCATCTTCTGTGGAGTGGCTGGTGAGCTTGAACCTCTGACCTTGTGGTTTGCAGCCCAGTGCTTATCTTATAGAGCACTCCCCATGGGGACACATAGATCCCTCAAGCCCAAACTTGAGGTTTTCATTTCCAGTGAAGGCCCTGAGCCTCCCTGGCTCCCTCAAAGGAACCACACTCTGAATGATGGCGGACTGCTTAGAGGGACAAGTACCCTCTCCTCAAGTTGACTTGTCCCTACCCCTCACCCCTCATTTTACTGGGAAATCATTCAGGGCTTTGGTAACTGAAGATGCAAATTCTTTGAATGGTGCCCTTCCCACCTCATCTCAGCTTTGTGGCACCATCATCTACCCCTCCTTTCCAGGGCAGCTCCTCTGTTCCCCACCCCCACCCAGGTCTGGAGTCAGGAGCAGGCAGATGAGCACCTTCCCTGGGGCTGTGCAGGTCTGGTCTCCTGGGAGACAGAGATAAGGAGGGTGCAGAGACCAGCCCAAAGAGGTGGGTCCTGAGGGGACCAGGAGCCCCACCCACACAGGCCCATTGTCCAAGCTCCCATTATAAACAGAGCCCCTCTCCACTGCTCCTCAGTGGGGTGAAGAACTGGCCCCCATCCACGGAGATGGGAGGCAGCTTTCCCCACCACACACTTACCAGACACAGAGATAGGGGCCTCA